GAACAATATCAACTGGTGAATATAATAGATCAGAGGTATGGAAGGGGAGTGAACTGACGATTCTTGGGGAAAAGGGGAGAGGGGGTGCAGGAAGAGACTGAACAAAACTGTGCACCTATGGATGAGGACAATGGGGGGTGGGGAAAGGGCAGAGGGTGGGGTGGGAACCTGGTGGAAGGGAGCAATTGAGGGGGGGAAGAGGATCACATTTGTAATAATCTGAACAATAAAAATTTATTTTAAAAAAATAAATAAATAAAATAAAAAAATCCCCAACAAGCTTTGAATCTTTAGCTTCCAATTTTGCCAAATTTCTGACCATAGAGTTATTAAGTTCTTTGAAATATCAGGTTTGGGGGGGGGTGATGTAGGGGGAGTGGGAAGAATCATGAAGAAAAGTTAAAGTACCTGCTTAGATGGTCAAACTTCTTTAGGATCCTTTTAGAGCTGCTTTTAAAATCAATTTGTCTTTTTTTGTTTGTTAATTCTCACCTGAGGATATTTTTTCCCATTGATTTTTAGAAAGACTGGAAGGGAAGGAGGGAGGCAGGTGGGGGGGGGGGAGAGAGAGAGAGACTTAATTGGTTGCCTCCTGCATGTACCCGGACCAACCCAGGTATGTGCCCTTGACCAGGAATCGAACCCGTGGCCCTTCAGTGCGTGGGCTGACTCTAACTACTGAATGTACCATCCAGGGCAAAATCAATTTGTCTTTTAGATTAGAAGCTTCTGCATATCAATCGAAGAATCCATTCCTGTACCCCCAAGAGGTTTGAAATTCTCTCTTTAAGAGAGGCGTTTGAGGTGGACTGAAAGTTTTCTCTTACTGGCTTTTAGAGTTTTAAGTCATTTTGGCTAAGTTGGTCTATTTTGTGCCAAAAGGCACACGAGGAGGGACACAAATGTTTGTATATGTAACTGGCCAGTTCGAGTTCCTAGGGGGCAGCTTGGGGTATTTTAGGGGCCCCATGTGAAAGGTAAGCGCCCCTGACAGCGGTCATGGTTGGACAAGAAGACCAGGAGATGGTGTCTATCCGGGCCTCGTTTCACTTCATTTCTTTCTTTTTTTTTTTTTTAATATGTTTTATTGATTTTTTACAGAGAGGAGGAGAGAGGGATAGAGAGCTAGAAACGTCGATGAGAGAGAAACATTGACCAGCTGCCTCTTGCACACCCCCTATCAGGGATGTGCCCGCAACCAAGGTTCATGCCCTTGACCGGAATCGAACCCGGGACCTTTCAGTCCGCAGACCGACGCTCTATCCACTGAGCCACACCGGCTTCGGCTCATTTCTTAGAGGCCCCTCAATTCCGACTGAAAGCCTTTTCACTCAGGTTGCCTAACATTCCTAAGGTGCCGGCCAGGAGGCTGCGAGTTGCGGGAAGGCGCTCCCGGCGGCGCACCAGGGGCCGGTGACGGCCAGAGCCGGCATGGCCGCCGCGAGGGTGAGTCTGGTGCTTAACTTCTGGACAAAGGTGTTCTCGCTCTTGCTCCTGGTCTTTGGCCCTCAGGCCCCCCAGGACCCTGCATTCACCCGCGTGGCCTCCAGCCGTGTGGCCTCTGCCACGGAGCTGAGGCGAACTGGACCCGCGTGGGCGGCAGCTCTGGCCTCCTCTGGGCTCTGCAGGGTCCCCAGCGCACCTCTCCAGGGCTGGGAAGGGAACGCCAACAAAAACACTCATTCTCCCATGCAAACCTTAGAGAGTTCTAGAGACACTGTGAGAACCCCACTCCCACCGTGCGGAAGGAATCTGACTCTGGTAACGGAAGGAGAGTCACAGCCTAGAGGACTCACCACCGGCCCCCAGAGCCGTCACGGAGACACACAGCACACAGGCAAGCACACGCGGCTCAGCCCGGCAGCGCGGGTCCAAACAGAGCGTCCTTCGGGCCAGCGGCCACCGCGGACGGACTGAGCGCCCTGCACCGCGAGGCTCCGGCCGGCAGTAGCCGGTGGAGGCTGGCCATCGGGAGGGATCAGGAGGCTCCGGGGGGCAGTAGCCGGTGGAGGCTGGCCATCGGGAGGCTCCGGGGGGCAGTAGTCGGCGGAGGCTGGCCATTGGGAGGCTCCGGCCGGCAGTAGCCGGTGGAGGCTGGTCATCGGGAGGCTCTGGCTGGCAGTAGCCGGTGGAGGCTGGCCATCGGGAGGCTCTGGCTGGCAGTAGCCGGTGGAGGCTGGCCATCGGGAGGCTCTGGCTGGCAGTAGCCGGTGGAGGCTGGCTATCAGGAGGGATCAGGAGGCTCTGGCCGGCAGTAGCCGGTGGAGGCTGGCGATCAGGAGGGATTAGGAGGCTCCGGGGGGCAGTAGCCGGTGGAGGCTGGCCATCGGGAGGCTCCGGCCGGCAGTAGCCAGTGGAGGCTGGCCATCGGGAGGCTCCGGGGGGCAGTAGCCGGTGGAGGCTGGCCATCAGAAGGCTCCGGCCAGCAGTAGCCGGTGGAGGCTGGCCATCGGGAGGCTCTGGCTGGCAGTAGCCGGTGGAGGCTGGCCATCAGGAGGGATCAGGAGGCTCTGGCCGGCAGTAGCCGGTGGAGGCTGGCGATCAGGAGGGATTAGGAGGCTCCGGGGGGCAGTAGCCGGTGGAGGCTGGCCATCGGGAGGCTCCGGCCGGCAGTAGCCAGTGGAGGCTGGCCATCGGGAGGCTCCGGGGGGCAGTAGCTGGTGGAGGCTGGCCATCAGGAGGGATCAGGAGGCTCTGGCTGGTAGTAGCCGGTGGAGGCTGGCCATCGGGAGGCTCCGGCTGGCAGTAGCCGGTGGAGGCTGGTCATCGGGAGGGATCAGGAGGCTCTGGCTGGCAGTAGCCGGTGGAGGCTGGCCATCGGGAGGCTCCGGGGGGCAGTAGCCGGTGGAGGCTGGCCATCGGGAGGCTCCGGCCGGCAGTAGCCGGTGGAGGCTGGCCATCGGGAGGCTCTGGCTGGCAGTAGCCAGTGGAGGCTGGCGATCAGGAGGGATTAGGAGGCTCCGGGGGGCAGTAGCCGGTGGAGGCTGGCCATCAGGAGGCTCTGGCCGGCAGTAGCCAGTGGAGGCTGGCCATCGGGAGGCTCCGGGGGGCAGTAGCCGGTGGAGGCTGGCCATCAGGAGGGATCAGGAGGCTCTGGCCGGCAGTAGCCAGTGGAGGCTGGCCATTGGGAGACTCCGGCTGGCAGTATCTATTGTCCATCCGAGGCCCGAGGCTTACGGACTGGAAGCACTCGGCCGGGTGCAGGGCTCAGAGGAGGAGAGCGAGCGAGGCTCTGTGGGAAGCAGCCCTTTCTCCAGAAGCAGCAGCTGCCGCTCCGCCTCGGGGCTGGCCAGGGAGTCGTCCTCGGTGACCGATGACCGGCGTCTGTCCGCAGGACCCGGGGTCCGGCTACATGGACATTGGCTCCTTCGTCCTTCAGCCTCCGCAGAGGCTGTCAGGAGGTTTGATGACTCAGGACGGGGGAGTTCACAAGCTTAAGCTCCAGACTGGTTAAAGCAAGAATGAAATGCTTTCCTCCGGCCTCGGCCTCCTGATGTTGGTAATTTAGCTGCTTGGCTACACGACGTTTTACTTCTTTGTGCTGCTCCTCAGTGGCAGCGAGGCACCCAACCTGCGAGCCGGGCCTCGGTTCTGATTCCACACGGTCTGTGGCTCTGGGGGCGGGGAGACCCCTCTTTCCGAGACCCCCCTCGCAGCCCGAAAAATCCAGGGAGACCAAGCTGGCTTGTGGACCGCCACCCACATCCTACTGCTAGCCTTTTACTTCCTTTTCTCTCTTCAGTCCTACCCCCGAGGGGGAGGGGTAGATGGTGCTGGGTGAGGGGGGAAAGCCGGGATCCACGTGGCCGGTCAGGTGCTGTGCGGGCCAGTGCGTCCGTGGTGGCACCGCTCTCTCCGTGTGACCAGGCCAGTGACCGGTCAGGGGCCAGGCGGCCAGGTGGGCTGAGACCCCGGATGCCTGAATGTCTGGAAGCCCTTGGCTGTGACTCAGGTGGCGGAGGGCTCCTCCCGGCTCTCACAACCGCCAGCAGCCGCCCGCCCGGAGCACCTGAGCTCAGGACTTCCCCTCTCCACCTGGAATTCCCGGAGCTGGAAATTCCCGCCCGGGCGGCCGTCGGCGGCCGTCGGGCTGGGCTGCGGGTTTCTTCGGGCGGGGCTGTCTGGCTGAGCTCTGAGGGCTGTGGGGTCTCTGAGCCCCAGCAGTCCAGGGAGTCCGGGCTTGCAAGCCCCGGGGAGAGAGGTCTTCAGGGAGCGGCCGCACGCCCAGTGCAGAGGGGATTCCAAGAAAGAGACCAAGTTGCTCTTCGAAGCACTTTATTTCTCGCCACTGACCAGTAGGGCGGTTACAGGCACAGCTCCCCTGGGGAGCAGAGGTTCAGCGATGTAGCGACAGTCAGTCACTAAATCAACATTATGTAGACACCTTGATCAGATCAATATCTTTTAAAAACACAAGCAAAGGGAGACACCGGGACCAGGAGGCCAGGCGGGAAGAGCCTAGGGTTCAGCTCCATTTTCACGGAAAACGTGTCTGAGCCCGGGCAGCCCTTGCATTGGGTCTCCCTGGACACCTGACCTCCCGAATAAATACTTTATTAGCAAATAAATAAATAATAAATAAATAATAAATAACCACAAGTGCAAACATAAATAGAGGAGCTGGCCCTCGGTGCTCTGCCTCAGGGAAGCTTCCGGGGACATCTGAAGAAAGAAGGGCCTGAGCCACTCAGTCCGTTTGTAGGTGAGATCTCAAGGGTGCTCTGGAGTGTCTGGCCGGAACAAAAGCTCCCCAGGCCTTGGCCCAGGGGTCCCGGCTGCGTTCAGGTATCCAAACCTGCGCTTTGAATGTTGGCAGCGGCCGGAGCCCCGTTGACCAGGCCACACCACAGTGCATCCTAGGTTTCTGAGTGTCGCTTACAGTTTTCAACTCAGCGCCCAGCCCTGAGCCCCAATCCCCTTTCTGGCCCAGAAGGGGATGGAGTGTGGGGAGGAGGGGTGACACAGGGATTGAGGTGGGCCAGAATGCACAGCCTGCTCCCTCACAGGGCAACGATCCCGAAGTAGACCTGCCCGGACTCGGAGAAGTCGAGATAGTCAGGCAGGTTGATCTCGGCGCTGAGCCGGTCGCCCTTGTTCAGCTGGAAGACCCCTCCCAGGTAGATGGGCTCGTACCAGGGCATGGCCTCCGCCCCCTCCGGGGTCTCCCGCTGGCAGGGGCTCTTGATGGCGTAGAGGAGGTTGATCTTGTCCTCGTAGGAGGCAGCAAAGCGGCTGACGGTGTGGGTGAGCAGCAGGGGGGCGTGCGGGCAGCCCCTGCCCTTGAAGAGGACCTGGGAGTAGATGAGGTACAGCCCGTCCACCGGCACCACCAGCTGGTTGTCTGTCAGGCTGACACCATTGGCCAGGAGCGCGTTGACCACCTTGCTCTGCCACTGCAGCTTCCCCACGACTTGCTGGTTTGCTGGAGGGAGAGAGAGGGGAGTCAGGGTGACCTGACAGTCCCACCCCCACATCCTGTTCCTGTCACCTCTGCAGGAGGTTCAGAGCATCCCCCGAGGCCTGTGGGGCTTCTCCTCCTGCCCCACCTTGGATTCAGCGAGTCCTCCTCACAGGGTCTCCACGGACTGTCTAGCTCAGCCGGACTCCGCTCCCAACCTGAGCCCTCCCCGCCCGCCTGCTTCCGCACCCCAGCCACCCTCAGCTCTTACCGACAACATGGGCCACAGGCTTGTCGCCGGGGGCTCGAGAAGACAATCCTGAGGAGGAGAGAGGAAAGGAAAAGGTGAAACCCTACGTTCCCCAAAACAGCCTGGTACTCTGACTCCCATTCCTTACACACACACATCACACCCCCCCTTCACCCCCCGTGCACATCTCCCTGCTGCTGCCATCGAGGGCTGACACTCACTCTGCCCAAAACCAGAGGTGGCAGAGGCTAGGCGACACTCACCGAGGGTCTGGGCCAGCGGGAGGACGTTCATCGGGAACTGCTGGGAGGAGGAGGAGGAGGATCAGTATCGGAGCAGGCCATGGGGTGGGGGGGTGGGGGGTAGCTGGCTGCTTAGCTAGTGTGTACTCCCTGCCGGATGTGTCTGGTTTTCTCTCCACCCATCCATTCATTCATCCACAACCTCTTGTTGAGTGCTGACCACGAGGCAGACACCCTATCTGCATCCTTCCTTATTTCTCCTTCCTTCACCTCGTCTCCTTCACGCCTCCATCTCGTTGCTGCCTCTTTACTCTTATCACTGTCTGCTCCCTTGTCTCTGCTCCTGCCCCACGCCCCTCTGCACGGCTCTCTCGGTGGGTGCTGGGCTGCTTGCTCCTCTGTCCACTCAGCACACGTCAGTGGGCAACAGGTCCTCTCTCCAGCCTTCTCTCGCCCTGATCGCTCCACTTCTCTTTCTGCCTCCCCACTTCTCACCCTCTTTCTCCCCCATTTCTCTCTTGGTGGCAAGGGGGGGGCCAAGGCTGGCGAGGCACTCACCTCTTCCCTCTGGGGGCCGATCAGCCCCAGGTGCAGCAGGCAGAAGACTGCGGAGGCTCCTGCCACGAGGAGGAAGGAGAAGAGGCTGAGGCACAAGCACCGCCTGGAGCCCTGGGGGCCCCCTGCCTTCTGGGGGAGCGCCTCCTCCGCCAGCTCCACGTCGCGGATCATGCTCTCGTGCTATGCTGTGTCTGGGAGGCGCAGGGGCAGGGCGGCTGCAGGAGGAGTCGGGTGTCGCAGGGCGTGCGCTGAGAGACCACTTCCAGGGGGTCCGAGCTGTCTCTCCCTCCTGTCCTCGCTGAGGAGCTTCTGCTGGCGGGCTGCGCGCGGCTGCCTTTATAGCCGGGGAGGAGGGCGGGGATTGCTCGTGCCGCGGAAAACTTCCTTGGTGGAGAAACCCATGAGCTCATCTGGAGGAAGCGGTAGTGGGCTCTGCAGCGCTGTCTCGGTTTGGTTTCTTCTCTATTGCGGGGGTGGGGATTTGGAAAGTTGGGGACACCCAGGCACCAAGGATGCTGGCCACCCTCCCCGTTGGATTTGGAGGTGGCCTTGCTGGGCCGGTCAGTGTTTGAATGTAGGACCTTAAAGGCTGGATGGACTTCAGTTCCCCTCTGCCCCCCAATTCCCATCGTCTCCATTCCTTTTGGGGACCAGGGCTGTGGCCTGTTTCCCTCCCCTTTCCGACAGGACTCACAGGGCAGGCTGGGGATGAGGGTCTCAGAGAGCTGAGTGCTTGACGGGAAGAAACGGGGGGAACGAGCTGGGGCTGAGCTGGGGCTGGGGCCCCGGGAGAGGAGGGGCTGGGGCCCCCGGAGGCCTGGGGGAAGAGAGGGGCAAGCCCGGGACAGCCCAGAGGGCGCGAGGCAGCCTGGGAACCCCGAGCCCCACAGGCAGGCTTCCCCTTTCGTTCTGACGGCTCCACAGGCTGTTTCAGTCTTGGCTCCAAAGGCACGGGGCTGATTTTTGTAGGAAGCCCCGTGTGTGGCCTCGTGACCCAAAAGAACCCCTGGTTCCTCAGATCCCTGGAAAGGGCCTAGAGCCCTGGGCGTGACCCGCTCCCTCAGACGTGCCCTGTGCTTCCGGGGCCCGTGCTCCACCCCACAGCTGGAGACCCTTCGGTGGGCCACTCCTCTCTGTGACCCCGCTCCCCACAGCCTCCACCTTGGCCACGTCCGCCCGTGCGCCCTCCGCGCCCTCCGCGGCCCTGTCCCCCCATTCCTTACACAGCCCCAGGCATTCTCCCCCCACAGACGACAGAGCAGGCGCAGCTCACAGAAAAAGCTTTATTGGCCTCAGGGAGGCGCCATGTCTCCTGGCGAGGTGTCCGCGGGCTCTTCTCCTCCAGGGCGGCCATCGGTGGGCACCCTTATCTCTGTCCGCTGTTTCTCCCTTGGCTCCAGCCCGCCCTCCATAAATAAATAACTTATTTTCTTTCCTCATAAATACCCCGGCCTGCCTGCGGACGGCCACGCTCCAGCCTGCCCTCCTGCCTCCGCGGCGGGGCGGGGCTGCCGGGAAGGTCACGGCAAGGCGACCTTTGAATGGTCAGGGTGGAGGCAGCATGGGCGAGGGCCTTGAGACCAATTTCTTTTTCTGGAATTTTCTACAGAGCGAAGGCTCCGAAGAAGACGGTGCTGGGCGCGAGGAGCAGGTGCGGGACGCCGTCGGTGCTGGTGGAGAGCCGGTCGCCGCGCGCGAGCAGGAACACGGCGCCGCGGAACACGGAGCGCAGCCAGGGCGCCGGGCCGGGCCGCACGGAGGCCTGCGCGCTCAGCAGCGGCACGGCGGCCGGGTGGCGCGCGGAGGACAGCAGCACCGCGTGCGCCAGCAGCAGCGGCCCGGGCCGCCGGCCGGCGAACACCGCCTGCGAGTAGACGAAGTAGAGGCCGGCGGCCGGCACCAGCAGCGAGTTGTTGCGCAGCGCGAAGCCGCGGAGGAAGGCGCGGCCGGCGCCCGCCCTCCAGCGCAGCGCGTCCCGGGCGCCGGGGTCGCCTAGGAGAGCGGAGGGCGCGGCTGAGGCCTGGCCCTGAGCAGGGGGCCGCGGGGGGGGGGGGGGGCGGGGGGCGGGGGGAGCCGGGGGGCGGGGGGAGCCGGGGGGGGGCAGACCGCTGTTTGGGCCCAGAAGGGGAGCAGGAGGCGGGGGCTGTGTCTGGGGGGCGGGGGTGTTTACCAACGAGGTGAGCGGCAGGTTTGAGGGTGCCTGGTGCGAAGTGCTTCTGGGGGTGCTGAGGGGCAGTCTGCGCAGCTGAGAGGCCCACATCGGGGAGCCCCTAGGGGAGAACAGAGTTGGGGGCTCTGGGGCCCAAGGTTCGGCTGCGCCACCCCTGCTCCCCTCCTCCTGCTGTCTCACCTGGGCCACGGGCGGCAGGGCCAGCAGCAGCCCCAGGAGCAGGAGGGGGGCGCCACACCCCCTCCGCGGGCAGAGGCGTCCGGGCGGAGGCATGGGAGACCTGCAGGGGGGAGACCTGAGCGGGCGGGGCGGCGCGGGGCCCAGCCGGCCTCCTCCCAGGCCACAGCCCCCGCGAGACAGGCCGACAGGCGGCCACAGGCAGAGGCGGACGAGATGCATCGGACCGAGGTGAGCGAGCAGGGAGAGAGACACGGAGGGGAGCAGGGGGGGAGGCAGACACAGGCCGAGGCAGACGGAGACAGAGGAAGAGGCCCGCCGAGCTGGGAGTGAGGGAGCACCAGGCCAGCGGCCCAGGCCAGGCCAGGCCCAGGCCGGCGGCGGGGCGCGGGGCGAGCCGGGGGGCGCGGGAGAGGGTGGCGGGGGCTCACCTGCGAGCCGGGCCTTTATAAAGGAAGCGGCAGCGGCGGGCGGTTCTGGGCCGACGGCCGGGGAAGCCCCCAGGGCTTAGGAGGTGCTGCCTTCAGCCCGAGGCAGGAAGGCTGAGGCCCCGCGAGAACCAACCGCAGGCTGCACGGACGCCTGGGTTCTGGGAAGGGTGGGTGGGGGTCAGGGGAATTGTGGGCCGGGGGGCCGGGAGTGGGGTCAGGCCTAGGAGTTCCAGAGAAGGACGGTGAATTCGGGGAGCCCAGGGCAGCAGCTGGTGCGGAGGGCGGTTCGTGGAACAGCTCGGCATCCTCCCGACTGCGGGCTTCTCTCTGCCACCCCTCTCCCCTCCCCTGTCCTGTCCCAGCGGCCCTGCCCGGTGTCCAGTGGAGGCTCACATCACGGAGCCTGGGCCCTTGGTTGTGGCTCTGTCCGGGGAGGCCTGCAGTCCCACCCGGACCCGGCGCCGGGCTCACTGTCGTGAGGCCGCATCGCCCCGGGGCCCTCTCGCTGCCTCCCCTGCGGGCCCCACGATGGGGCTCCTTAGGCCGCCGCAGGCGGGGCCTGGGGTCTCGGCGTGGGCCGCTGTCAGCTGTGAGGGGCTCCCTCGGGCGGCAGCCATGCAGCACCTTCTCAGGCCCTCCGTTGGCGCCCTCCATGCAGCAGCACGGCCCCTCGCCGAGCGCTTCCTGCTGTGGGCAGGGACCCAAACCACAGGCGCTCACGGCGGCTCCTTCCGGCACTGCGGGAGGTTTCTGAGGTGCGGAGACTCACTGACTTACCCATTCGTCTGCCTGCGGAGGGCCTCGGGGCTCCTCCTGGAACTGGCCAGCTTGAAAAACACTGACCTGAACATTCTTGAACACGAGCCAGTTTTCACTTAGCTTGTAAGTTGCAGGTTTAAAATAAGCGAGGTCCTAAAGACTTTTTTACTCGCGTTTCATGAGGCTGAGAACAGTCATTACTCTCACTAATGCTTCCATTCGCAGTTGTGGAGGGGCTGGGCTGAACCGGGTGGTGGTGATGGAGCGCCCTCTGCTCTGGCAGCCAGCCCGGGCGTCTGAGCTGGGGGCTCCCGCCGCAGCCCGCGGCGCTGCCCTCCTGCCTGTGTCTGAGACCTGCGTTCTCATGCCGTACCGTGTTTTCTGTCCCACTGGCCCTTCCTGAGCACCTTGGACAAGACCTTGAGAATTTGGGTGCAAAGGACAGGCTCCTGCCCTCCGGGACCTCAGGACCCAGAGGGAGACAGGGAGGTCACTGGGCCGTCAGCAGGTGTGACAAGATCCATGGCGGGCGCTCAGGGCAGCCCGGGGAAAGCATGGCGCATGGTGGGGCTCGGAGGGGGCCGTGTGGCCTGGGCCGCGCTGCGCCGGGGAGGGGCCTGGCGTGTGGCTGAGGACTCCTCCTGAAGGTCTGAGGAGAGCGGCCTGCACGGCACTGGTGGTGACAGGGCCCCCAAGGGTGTTAGGAAACGGAGCCTGGCAGCTACTGGAAGTGGATGGCGCGGAGCCCAGAGCGTGCAGGCCGGGCAGGCGGCAGCGGCCCGCGGGGTGCGGAGCCTGCACCTGAGCGGCGCGGGGCGCGGCGGGGGATGGCGAGGAGCAGAGCCCAGGCCCGCGGCCCACCGTGTCACAGGCTCTTTAAATGCCGCGGCCGCCCCTCGGGTCCTGCCCTCCAGCCTCACTGCCTCGTGGCCGTTGGTCTCCCTCGGGTTCCTGCCCCTTTCCTTCCCTCTTGCCCCTTCTCTGGTCCCTTTCTCCCGGCTGCCCCTCCGCTCCCGCACGGCGGGCGGATGGCCAGAGACGCCGCTCTGGAAAGGATGAGAGGGCCTGCAGTTACAGAGAAAGAGAAACCGTGAGGGCAGAGGGCAGAGGAGCGCTGCCGGACAGAAAGGGGAAGGGAGGCGCGGTGGGGAGGCAGAGAGGAGGCGGCATCACAGGGCGCTGTGCTGAGGGCGCCTCTTCAGATGGGCCAATCGTGGTTTCGATCTCAGTTTCGAAGGAGCTTGTGTGAAATTTGGTTTCTTTCTTGGGGTGGCCAGCAGCTGGCCCGGGGCTTTCCCGAGGGGAGAGCTGGTGCCTGAGCCTGTGCCCAGCTCGGCCGGTCTCTGTGGTCTCGGCAGAGGCTAGGGGACTCTCCGAGGCTCCCAACCTGGTTGAGACGGCACTCACCTCAAACCTGAACTTGGCCTCAAAATCAAAATTGGGATTTAATACCGACTTCGACTCTAACCCGAATTTAACCTCAACCCAAACCCAGCCCTTATGCCACATCTAAACACATCTCAACACACGAACCCCAAACAGACTCCCTAAACTAACCCAAGCTTGTCTCTAGAGCTAATCTTGAAACCAGCTAGCACCATGCCCAACCCTGTGGCTAAGCCTGACAACGGGTAGACCAGCCTGCGCCACAAAGTAGAGTGAGCTTTAGCCGCATTGCCTGGGGCTCCCCTCGCCCTCCCGGAGTCCGCGCTGAGTGTGGGGGGACTCAGTGGCGGCCGGTCAGCCAGGGCAGCTCCGGGAGCACACAGCCCAGTGAGGCCAGCAATGAGGCGGAGGAAGCGGGCCGAGGAGGGACGGCCTGCTAAGAGGGCAGGCCCCAGGAGGGCCCCTCTGAATAGGGGCGTTTAAGCTGAGGCCCGATGGCAGGTGTGACCAGGTAAAGTGTGGAGGAAATGCATTCCAGGCGAAGGGCCAGCTTCTGCAGAGCCAGGAGGTGGGCGCCATGAGGGGTGCAGGGGAGCAGAAGGGAGCCGGTGTGGCTGGAGCAGAGGAGGGGGAGATGCAGTCAGAGGGGGAGGGAGAGCGGGCCCAGACCACCCATGGGGCCAGTCAACTGAAGGACGCTTTGGAGGATTCAGTTTCGTATGTGTGTGCTTGTGTGCACATGTGCAAGAGACAGCAAGGTGCGGAGAGATGTGAGGCGGAGGTGAGTGGACTTTTTAAAAATATATATATATTTTTTTATTGATTTTTTTACAGAGAGGAAGAGAGAGATATAGAGAGTTAGAAACATCGATGAGAGAGAATCATCGATCAGTTGCCTCTTGCACACCCCCTACTGGGGATGCCAGAAACCAAGGTACATGTCCCTGACGGGAATTGAACCTGGGACCTTTCAGTCCGCAGGCTGATGCTCTATCCACTGAGCCAAACCAGATTCGGTGTGAGTGGACTTTTTAAAGGATCCCTGTGGCTCCTCCGTGCAGACTGGCTTGCAGAAGGCAGCCCGGAGGGCAGAACACCGTTAGGCAGCTGCTGTAATCGGAGAGCAGATGGCAGCTGTGAAGGGTAGGATTGATAGGACCGGACGGATGGCTGGAGGGGGCGATGATGGGGAGACGGAAGACCTGCAGGGCCCTGAGGGGAGAACCGGAAGTCTGAGGTTGGATTTGCTGTCTGACTTTATTGGACAGCGCCAACGGGAGGTGTCACTTGGCAGTTGGAGGAGTCTGGGTGCCCAGGCCAGGTCAGAGGTCAGGGGCCACCCTGGGCACTGTCAGCATCAGCGGGGGTGCTCCTGTGCGCACCGAGGCCCGCGGAGGCGTTTCTCACGACGGTGTGTGCCTGCCACGCTCACTCCCACAGGCAGCACCTCCTGCTTCAGACAATGCCGTCCACTCCACAGGACACGCCCGCCCACTTCTCCGTGCTCCGTGGACGCCTCCTGTCCCAGCCTCTGCTCGTTTCTGAAAGCACCCTCCTTGGCACCTGAAACCTGGACTTCTCCTCCCCGTGCTCCTTCTCACTGGTGAAGCCTGCCCTTCCTTCTACCCTGTCACAGGGGCAGGGGCCAGGCAGGCAGGGGCAGGGGCTGGGGCAGAGTCAGGGTCTGGGCAGAGTCGGTCTGGACAGGGGCAGGGGCAGGCTCTGGGACAGAGTCAGAGTCAGGGTCTGGGCAGGGGCAGGGGCTGGGCAGAGTCAGGGTCTGGGCAGAGTCAGGGTCTGGGCAGGGGCAGGGGCAGGGGCTGGGACAGAGTCAGGGTCTGGGCAGGGGCAGGGCAGGGGCTGGGCAGAGTCAGGGTCTGGGCAGGGGCAGAGTCAGGGTCTGGGCAGGGGCAGGGGCTGGGACAGAGTCAGTCAGGGTCTGGGCAGGGGCAGGGGCTGAGGCAGGGGCAGGGTCTGGGCAGAGGCTGGGCAGAGTCAGGGTCTGGGCAGGGGCAGGGGCTGGGGCAGAGTCAGGGTCTGGGCAGGGGCAGGGGCTGGGGCAGAGTCAGAGTCAGGGTCTGGGCAGGGGCAGGGGCTGGGGCAGAGTCAGGGTCTGGGCAGAGTCAGGGTCTGGGCAGGGGCTGGGGCAGAGTCAGGGTCTGGGCAGGGGCAGGGGCTGGGGCAGAGTCAAGGTCTGGGCAGAGTCAGGGTCTGGGCAGAGTCAGGGTCTGGGCAGGGGCAGGGGCTGAGGCAGGGTCAGGGTCTGGGCAGGGGCAGGGGCAGGGGCTGAGGCAGGGGCAGGGGCTGGGCAGAGTCAGGGTCTGGGCAGGGGCAGGGTCTGGGCAGAGTCAGGGTCTGGGCAGAGTCAGGGTCTAGGCAGAGGCAGAGGCTGGGGCCTGGGAATCTCCTCCCCTGGAGGCCTCTGCCACAGTCTTCCTGTCCGCACGCAGTCTTCCTCACCAGCATCTCCACCACGCTCCTAACAACTGGTCTGCTAGCTGTTTGCCTCCATCTCACCCGCCTCCATCTCTAGAGACTTCAAAGCACTCGGCCTCTGTGCCTCAGCTCCGGACCCCTCCCTCCTGACGCACTAAGACCGGCCGCCCTCGGGGAACCATAGGGCCTCCCTCCGTCTCTCCTGCGCAGCCTCGCCCCGGCGCCTGCCCACTGCCCCCAGGCCCTCCCGCCTTCTCGTTGGCCCCGCCCACTGCAGGGACGCGGTCCCTGCTCCCCATTCCCACCCGCTTTGCCCTCACTTGTCATGCTGTCCCCGGTTTTTGTTGTTAATCCTCGCCTGAGGATATTTCCCCATTGGTTTTTAGAGAGAATGGAGGAGAGAGACAGAGAAACATCGATGTGCGAGGGACACATTGATTGGCTGCCTCCTGCATGAGCCCGGGCAGGGGAGGAGCCTGCAACGGAGTACGTGCCCTTGACGGGATCGAACCCTGGACCCTTTGGTCAGGAGCCTGATGCTCTGTCCACTGAGCCCCACTGGCCAGGGCGAGCTGTCAGCCATTTTGCGGAGCGAAGGCCACGCAGGGTGGGGCTCCTGGCTCCTTTCCTTTCCCTCAGGCAGCCCCCCTCCTGCAGGCCCTCTGTCCGCCTCCCTCTTATGCGTTCTCTTTTCTTGCTCCTCTTCATTTCACAAATTCAAGTTTTTTTCTTGAAAATAAAAAAATCCTTCCCGACTCTTTCTCCCTTTTATCTCTCACCTTCCTTTTCTGTGTGATGTCTCAAGAGACAGCTAACCACCCTAACCAACCACTTTTTTGGGAACTGGTAGAATTTCCTCATCTGTAAAATCTGTGGGTGACTAGAGACAATTCTTAGTTTCTTCCGTATTCGCCATTCTCTGACTTTGTACTCGCCACCTCCCACTGGCTCCTCGGCCTATGGACGGTGACTCCTCCCTCTGTGAGTGGAAACTATCTTCTCACCATTTGTAATCACCAGCTCCCCCTCCACGCTCTTTCCGCCTCCCCCCACCCCCTGACCTCGCTGGAGCCTGAGGCGCTCTCTCCGGGCTCTGCCCTGCGCCCGCGCTTGGGGATCCACTCAGTTCCACCTCCACGGGAGAGGAGTGGCACCCAACCCCCCCCCACGCCCTGGGCGCATCCCTGCCGGCCGGGACCCCCACCTGCCGGCCAGGACCCCCACCTGCCGGCCAGCACCCCAGCTCGCAGGCCTCCCCAGCACTCCGTCCGCAGGCACCTCCCCTTGTGTGGCCCAGGCACACGGCAGCGTTCCGGTAGATGGCGAGCTGAGGGCAGTGGCTTCCTCTCTGGCGCGCTGCTGGCAGCGCGTGGGCTCGGGCCGCAGCTGAGCAGGCACTGACGGCGTGAGGGACCCAGCTCCCGCGCCTCCGCTCCTTCGTGCCGGGCGCCGTCGCCGTTCCGCCCCCGGCTCACACGGCCGCGCTCTGGTCCCACCCGCGGCTGTCAGGCCGGGCTCAAACCGCTCCCCCGTCACACAGCTGCCCTCCGGGGCCACCGAGTCTCACTGCCCCAGGAGGACTCCCTTACTCGGTGGCGCGGCCTCGGCAAGCGCCGGTGGCCGCGGGCAGGTGACGGGTTAGGGAGGGCCAGGTCACACAGGGGGTGTTCAGACACCCTTTCTCCTTCCCGACCCTGCGGGCATCTCCGCACGCCTGGGCCCTCACCGCACAACACTCTGCTGTGGACTCCTGCCTCTGCTCAGCCATTCGGTGACCTCCGGTGCCCCTCCCCGAAGAAACGCTACCCACTGGCCAGCCACGCTCACGCCGCCCGCTCAGGCCTGTCTCCCACCGAGGGGCTGCTCGGCTGCCCAGGACGAGCCGGTTCTCAGGCGGCTTGCTGCGGCTGGTAGAGCGCCTTCTGGCCCTTTTCCTAACCAGCCCAGACCTGACGGACCCCACACCCCACACAGACCTCCACCTCACCAGCCTCGTTCCCCACCGTTTCTCTAACTGAAACCCAGACACCGCTCCCGAGAACCGGTTCCTGGCCCGTCTCCGGAGGACACACGCTCCTGCTTCGTGGGAGGCAGCCGCCCCGGGACCCCTGGGCCCCTCCCTGCCCCCACGGCGGACAGGAAGCCCGCTGCCTGGCCCGGGGGTCAGAGGAAGCCAGGGCCTCAGAGGCTCAGTATTTTTATCAGCCGAGGAAAAAGGCACTGCAGCGGAAGCCATGTGGTCAGAGAAAGTGAGCAGCCCTCATCTCGGGGAACCCCAACGGGGCTGGGGGCCAGGCACCAGGGAGGGTCACTGGGAGGGAAGGCTGGGGGCCAGGACCTGGCCTTATCGTGCTGCGGTTTATGTCACTCTTGCAAAGGGCAAGCGATGTGCTTAAAAACCAGAGAAAAATCTGGACGGAGGAGCAAATATGACACCAAAGTTTTCTGACACTTACCTGTCAGCTCCAGTCGGACCCTAACCCCCCCCACCCTGAGCTCTTTGCATGCCACTTCCGAACCCCACTGGGAGCGGAAGCGGACGCCTGGGCTGCTCACGGCGGCGTCTCTTCTCTGAATCACAGCAGCTTCCTCTCACAGCCCTTCCTCCTCCGCCCCAACATCTGGCGATGCCTCCGGGCCTTGGGCCTCTTGGCTGTCTCCCCGGGCTCCCGTGCTCACCCCACACTGCCATGCCACGTTCTGAGGCCCCCCTTCTGCTCCCGGGCTCCCAGCCTGAGAGATTCGCTGGACCCAGGAGCGTCTGGACGCAGCGCCCGCCGCTGTGGCACCGGCCTGCGCTCTCCACTCCACCTGGGGGCCTGGGCTGGGCTGTCTGGTCCTACCCCAGACCAGGCTGCTGCAGCTGAGCACCAACAGCAGGAGCCCCAGGCCACCTCCCTCCGCCCTCAGGACATTTCCCTGGAGGGCCAGGCCCGCTGCCAGCGATGAAACCCAGGCTGCAGGGGGCAGAAGCTATGGAGGGAGCTGGGCACTGAGCTGTCGAACAAACTCAACGTATTGGAGGCTTTGACTAGAAATACACGATACGATTTATACACAGGTTTGCAAACTGGAAGCACGAGGCAGAGCCAACAGTTTCCGAGGACAAGCTGAGCTCTCGGGTACGAGGGCCCCTGGAGAAGGCGGTCCTGCGGGCTTAGCCAGGGCCCGCCCGTCAGGTGGTGGCCAGGCAGACCAGGCGGTCCGGTCACCCATGTCTGGGTCCCGGGCGCCAGGTCTAGGCGCAGCGAGGCCCTCAGGGGTGAGGGCGGTCAGGAGCCTGTGTGTGCCCAGGCCCTGACACCGGCCGGGAGAACGGAGAAGTCCAAGCTCCCAGGTGGTTTAAACGAGCACAGAGTCGTTTCCTCGGCCTCACCCGCCTGGCTTAGTGACTGAGCAGCTCGACGAGAGCGAGTCCATGTTACTCCTCACCCTCCGGGGATGTGGGTACCTGGTTGCCCAAGAACAGACACCCCAGGTTACATAACTGGGCTCTTTCCGCCTCCTCCCCTGGTCCTAATTTTAGCAACCGAAATTCCACTCCCCCGCGGGCTCCTCCTCCATCCCTCCTGTCCCGACCTCTCAACCTCCTCGTGGTCCCAGCTCCGCTGCCCCCACTTGGACCATCGGGTGACTCAGCAAAGGGAAAGCCCTGTCTGCTGGGGAGGCAGTGAGCGGGAGGAGGATGTGGTCTGGGGGAGTGGGGAGGGAGGGAAACTAGATTTGTTCCCTTTTTTGGCCGGTGTTCACACTCATCTCTTGGCCCCCGATTACCGAGGGGAGCCCGGAGGAGGGCGAGGAGTGAGGCGGGCGGGCACCCCGGCCGCTCAGGGCCGCCGGCGTCCAGCGCAGGCGGCCGTGCGTGCGGTCAGTGTGCAGAGCTGGGTTCGGCAGCCGGCGGCGAAGATGGCATGGGCGATGCGAGCCGCCGCAGTGGAAAAAGGCAGAGCCTGGGAGTGGGACGTGGAACCAGGTCTTATTAGGAAGTGGCGGCGTCGGAGCAGTGCGGTGGCTGCCCGCCCCCGCTCATCACAAGTTTCGCTCGCACCCCACATCCTCTGCTCACAGTGCGGTCTGCCGCGGCTCGTCACCCCCCTCTGGCCATGCCCTTCCTGCCGGTGCCTCGAAGGCTGCGTTCCCTGCAGTCCCGCCTGGTCTCCCGGAGCTCACTTGAGGGCCTCCGCTCGGCGATTCAGGGCCTGAGAAAGGGCTGTCACGGCTCCCATCACGCGGCCCAGCTCCCAGGCCTCAATCTGGCTCCCGAATCGCTGTAGGAAGCGGTCCGGGTGCCAGCGAACCTGCTGGGCCCTCAAGTACCTCCTCAGAGCCTCTTTCTCCGCCAAGGGGGGACCCCCGGCCACCAGGGCTGCTGCCATGGCCTCCGGGTCCCCCCCTGGGCAGGGCCAGGGCACATCACCGAAGCGCCAGAGATTACCCCTGCCCACTCCCCTGGGTTGCTGGGCCCCGGGCCCCAGGTCCCTGCGAGCCTCCTGCGCCCGCTCCTGCGCCCGCCTGGCTCTGCTCTCCCGCAGCTCCTCCTCCTTGGCCCTGGCCCGCTCTTGGAAGAGCCTCCGCTCCTCCTCCAGCCGCCGCCAGCCCAGACGGGGGCCCTCAGCCCGGGCGGGCCGGCAGGCTCCCTTGGTCTCACGCTGCTGCTGGCACTTCTGGGCATGCTCCTGGGCCAGGCGATCTGACCAGGCTGAGAAGGACTCGGGTTCCGGGGCCTCATGGGAAGCATAGTCTGTTGGGAGGGTGGGACAGAGGTGGTGGGGAGAGGCCATGAGGTCACGGGCAGAAGCGGGCGGCAGGGGAAGGGTGCAGGACGGGTGCAGGCACAGCGGCAGCTGGAGGGGAACAGACTCCTCACCTTCGAGCCGCCCCGTGACCTCCTGCCACTCGTCCTCCAGCTCTTCCTGCAGCTTCTGCCTCCACTGGTGCTCCTTGGACGCGTCTTCCTCCTCTTCAGCAGAACCCCAGGGGGGTCCCCAGCCCAGAATGTGCCCTGGGGTCTCCCCATCCTTATTCTTTACTCCCAGGGCAGAGGGACAGCGATGCAGCAGCGGCAGGAAGAAGTCGGTGTAGGCTGTTGGTGGGAGACAGGGGAGTTAGCTGGGCCTGCTCGGCAGGGCGCCTCTTGTCTGCCCGCCTGCACCTGACAATCGCTGACAGCTGTGTCCCCGTCAACTATTTTGTTTTCCGGTCTGCCTCCAGCCACCAGGGCAACGTCAGAAAACTCTGACCCTGTATTCCAGTTTTGGCTGGAAAGTACACTGAGTGGCCAGATTGCCATGATCTCTGAACGCATAATAATCTGGCCCCTCAGTGTATATTCTATATAATAAAAGGCTAATATGCAAATTGTCCTCTCGACCAGGAGTTCAACCAGCAGGCATACCGGCCAACCACCCATGTCCCCTCCCCGTGGCCAGATCCCACCCATGGACAAATTCATGCACCAGGCCTCTAATGTGTGTGTGTGTGTGTGTGTGTGTGTGTGTGTACACACACACACACACACACTCTGAGTGGCCAGATTATTATGTGTTTGGAGATCATAGTAATCTGGCCACTCAGTGTGTTGTCACTTTAGCCCAGCCGGCGTGGCTCAGTAGTTGAGTGTTGACCTATGAACCAGTAAGTTTGATTCCCAGTCAGGGCACATGCCCAGGTTATTGGCTCGATCCAGTGTGAGGCATGCAGGAAGCAGCCGATCAACAATTCTCTCTCATCACTGATGTTTTTATCTCTCTCTGAGATTAAAAAAAAAAAAAAAAAGACAGACAGACAATATTGTCGCCTTATACCTCTCACCCCACATATTTCAGATTGGAAAAATATTTTAACATTCTACTCTACCATAATGAATGCAAATATCGAATAGGTATCTTTTTATGTTACTTTTCAATAAACTGCATAAAATAAATGTTTTTAGGGGAATTTCCCTCAGCCAGCCTTCCCCAGAGCATGCTGGGAGGGTAGATCAGCAGAGTTTGAAGCAGAGAAATGCTCCATGCAACCAGCAAGCCCTTTCCAACAACTGCTGGCATAGGGGAGGGGAGAGGGGCGGAGAGGGGTCCGCCCAGGAACTCCCCTCCGAGCCCTGACTTCCCTGCATTGGCTCCCGAGTGGCCACGTGCCCAGGGCCGGTGCTCACTTCACTGCCTACCCAGGCCCCGGCACCCGCTCCTGGGACAGGGGGTGCGGGAGGCTCTCTTGCCGAGGGCCTGCTTCCTCTCGCCAGGACTGGAGGGGCTGGCGGCCGCCACCTTCACTCTGTGGCACCTGCTCTCTGGAAAAGCATGGGCAGAGGGAGGGTCCCGCTGCCAGGGAGGCGGGGGAGAACGGCCCAGCCTTGGCCGGCCGAGGCCCACGCATCTCCGGGCACACTGGAGCAGCACCGGATCCAGAGCCCGGAGGACGAGGGACCAGGGTTCATGGCGGGGGAGGGTGGCAGGTGCTCAGGCTAGGACGGGAAGGTTTTAAGGAGTAAGGCTTCCAACTATAAAATATAAGTGCGATATTACACAGGATATTAAATAGTAACTAAAAACGATGCGTGTGGAAAAAGCTGGCTATAAACTGTGCCCGGGCTCGGACTGAGCTGTGAGAGAGCGAGTGCCGCCGGGGGAAGCGCAGCAGTGGCTGAGGCTCTGGTCTCGGCGGCGGGACTGCGGGCGGCCTCCGCTCCTACCCAGCACCCTGAGGGGAACGGATATAACGAATGGCTAATGCTCTTTCCTCGTAAAGAATGAAGAATATGCGCAATCACTCTGCCCACCGGGCTGCTGTCCTTTCCAGTCCTATCTGGGTGACAGAAACCACACAGCTGAGTTTGCCAGGGATACGTGACCTCGCTACATGTTTTATCTGGCAACTTGCTCTTTTCGCTTAGCATCTCGTCCGCTTTCCACAGGGTGCGCGTGGCGGCCTCCTTTTTCATGACTGCGTGGTCTCCCGGTGCACGGAACAAACCACCCCCGGAGACGGGCTGTTTCCAAACTGCCTGGCTTCCTGCACGCCTCTGTGGGCTCCTGGGTGTTTCTGTGGGGCTGCGTCTCAGAAGCGGAATTTCTGAGTCAAACAGCTCTCGTTAGCCCCACACACACCCTATGGAAATCTGTGTCGTCCTTTACCAAAACTGCGTCTCATCAACCTTTTCATTGGCCCACCTGACAGATGAAAGAAAGATGTTAAGTATGAGATTTTCTTTTTCCTGTGCTTTTTGGCTCTTTGTGTTTCTGTTGTGAATGACCGGCTCTTATTCATCTACTTTTCCCTCGGAAACCATAGAGATGCAGCCTCTGTGGCAGAGATCAATCCTGTGTCTGTGCTACATGCATCGTAGGTATTTTCTCCCATTCCCACTAGTTTATGCCAGAGTGCTGTGGTTGGGTGCCGACCTATGAACCAGGAGGTCAAGGTTCGATTCCTGGTCAGGACACATGGCTGGGTTGTGGGCTTGATCTCCAGTGGCAAGGTGGAGGGGAAGACGTGCAGGAGGCAGCTAATAGATGATTCTCTCATTATTGATGTTTCTATCTCTTTTTCCCTCTCCCTTCTTCTCTGAAATCAATAAAAATATATTTGTAAAAAAAATTTAATGTAGCCAAAGCCGGTTTGGCTCAGTGGATAGAGCGTCAGCCTGCGAACTGAGAGGTCCCAGGTTCAATTCTGGTCAAGGGCATGTACCTTGGTTGTGGGCACATCCCCAGTAGGGAGTGTGCAGGAGGCAGCTGATCAATGTTTCTCTCTCATCGATGTTTCTAACTCTCTATCCCTCTCTCTTCCTCTCTGTAAAAAATCAATAAAATATATTAAAAAAAAGAAAAAAAGTAAGTTACGTGAGGGACCCGCAGCTCACCGCCATAAGACGGGAGGGCACATGCCAGTCACAGGAGGGGCTCACTGGGGGGCAAAAAACTCAGAAGGCAGCATTGAAGAAAATTTTACTTTATCCGTGATGGTTTTCTTTTTTTAAAATTTAATAAATTTAATAAATCTTTATTATTCAGATTATTACAATTGTTTCTCCTTTTCCCCCCATAGCTCCCCTTCACCCCGTTCCCACCCCACCTTCTGCCCTTACCTCCCCACATTGTCCTCATCCATAGGAGTACGATTTTTGTCCAGCCTCTTCCCCCACCCCCACACCCTTTTCCCCGAGAATTGTCAGTCCACTCCCTTTCTTTGCCCCTGATTCTATTATATTCACCAGTTTATTCTGGTCATCAGATTTTAATTCACTTGATTTTTAGGTTCACTGTTGATAGATATGTATTTGTTGTTCATAATTTTTATCTTTATTTTTTTCTTCTTCCTCTTTTTTTTTTTTTTTAAAATATATATTTTATTGATTTTTTTATAGAGAGGAAGGGAGAGGGATAGAGAGCTAGAAATATCGATGAGAGAAAAACATCGACTAGCTGCCTCCCGCACACCCCCTACTGGGGATGTGCCCGCAACCAATGTATTATACGTGCCCTTGATCAGAATCGAACCTGGGACCTTTCAATCCACAGGCCAATGCTCTATCCGCTGAGCCAAGCCGGTTTCGGCTCTTCTTCCTCTTTCTAAAGAATACCTTTCAGCATTTCATATAACTCTGGTTTGGCGGTGATGAACTCCTTTAGCTTTTTCTTATCTGTGAAGCTCTTTATCTGACCTTTCATTCTGAATGACAGCTTTGCTGGGCAGAGTAATCTTGGTGGTTTTATTTCTTTAAAATGAAATAATGTTGCAAAAATTACAATATATTAACATTCCCTGTGATAGGAACAGAGGTGTTTATTGTACTATATTTTCTACTCATTCTGAATTTTAGGTTTCTGAAAACAGAAATGAGTGTAGCAGAACAACACAGGGGAAAGTTTTGTAATCTTGGAGTGAAGAAAACCTTCCTAAGAATGAAATAAAGTCAAAAGCTATTGATACAAATTTAACTACATTAATTTTTTTTTTTTTACCTAAGCTGCCATCTTGGATCCTCCCCCGGATATATTATTATTTTTTTAAATATATTTTATTGATTTTTTACAGAGAGGAAGGGAGGGAGAGAGAGAGAGAGCTAGAAACGTAGATGAGAGAGAAACATCGACCAGCTGCCTCTTGCACACCCCCTACCGGGGATGTGCCCGCAACCAACGTACATGCCCCTGACCGGAATCGAACCTGGGACCTTTCAGTCCGCAGACCGATGCTCTACCACTGAGCCAAACCGGTTTTGGCCGGATATATTATTTTTAATATGGCATTCATTGCACTTGCGCTGCGTGCCAGACCTTCTCTGTCCATTAACCTCGATCTGCACAGCAGAAGAGGCAGTGGCCCTGTTTACAGGTGGCTCAGTGGTCAGTCCATGCTCCGTTTGCCTTCCCAGCCGGACCTCCCAGCACGCCCGGAAGCTGCAGCCCCGTGTGGCTGTCTTCAGGGCCCGCACGTTTTCCATGAGCCTGCCTCTCTCTTGCCCGTGGCTTTCCCGTCTGCTGATTTCTACTTTGCTCAGTGACTCTCCCTTCCCAGACCAGCCTAAGCCCCTCCGCCTGGCGGCCCTCTGGAGCACCCGCCCACCACTGCCTTTTCCTCCTCTGTGCCCCCTCAGTCAGCGTCCTCAGCTTCGGAGACTGGGTTTTTTGAGTGAGCTGTACCAGTTAGTGAACTTTGTCTTAAGGTAGACATCATCTTATGGGGAGAAAAGCAGTGCTGTCATCACTAAGACAAAGGCTATTTTTACTCCAAACGTTTTTTTCATGTATATAGTAGAAAAGCACATTGGGAAAAGTTGATCCGTACTAAGCTGATGATAAAGCTGGCATTGCAAGTCAACAGAGGAAGATGAGCTGTTTAACAAATGGTATCGGAGCATTTTACTCATTCAGGAAAAACTGTCCTCCCTCACTCCTGAGTTAAAAGTAAGTTACGTGCACAATAATTTCAAAACTACAACTAAAAGACAAAACATCTGTCACCCAGAACCACAGGAAAGCTGGCTGACTGGAAGCTCTACATCTAGACTGAGAGAGAAAGGGGCATTCAGGGCACAAGCGCTGGGAAACTGAGGTCCAGGGTGCACACGCCACTCAGGCA